GGGGGGGGGGGGGGGGGGTGGCAAAAATCATTATGGTTTATAATGGCAAATGATACTTTGAATATTACATGTTACTTACTTGATTGGAATTATAACCCTGAGTTGACAGTTTGATACTTTGAAAATTTTGAGCCAGACCTACCCCAAGGGCTGTAGGGTGGGGCCCAAAGGAGTCAGTGTGCTAAAATTTCTTCATTTTCCTTGTTAAGAATTGGAGGTGCTAGTTTGAAATAGTTTTTAGTCTTAAATCTGTATGCTAGATATTGAATAAGGTGTTTTTATTGTTTTTTTGTCATTTTGAATAATATTTCTGTTCATGTTAAAAACCAAATCAACTCTCTGTATAAATATATCAGGTGACCGTTTAGGCCCATGGGCCTCTTGTCTTTTTACAAATGGAAAATGAGTAATTATAACTAAAAGGCAAAGGGTCGTATATGATATCGGAACTGTAGTATGCTGGAGTGATGGGCTATCAGATTTGTTCAAAATAAGTTACCTAAATCCTCTAGACAATAATTATTATATACGACATTTATATAGCGCCCTGTATAATTTGTAAAATTACAACATATGGATAACAGTATTAGCTATAATTGTGAAACAAAAATGGCTTACAATCACCATTATACATTTAGCAAGAAGATAATCATCACAATGTGTACAAAACGAATAAATAAAGGTTGGTATGTACATGACCTCTGTGCAAAGAGTCTAAAATGCAGATGTGAAAAGGAAAGTTTTGATTTCCCTCTTGAATTCGGCCAGGGTGTTTGACTTCCTAATGGCTGATGGTAAGCTATTTTAAAACATGGCCGAAACCCTCCCAAAGCACCAGATTCCATAGGTCAAAGTACCAGATTTTGGGACACAGCTATGATTCTGTCTCCGACCGCAGTGATCGTGACGGCTGATACAGGGTAACAAGCTCCTGTAGGTACTGGAGAGCTGTTCCATTCAGTGCCTTGTATGTGTACACCAAACATTTGTACTGCGACCTGTATACATATTAACAAATAGGTCAAACGAGTCGGATGTGTCAATAGTCATAAAATATATCCTTCTGGATTTCATTTCAACAAATTTTATTTCATTTAGAAAAAGGATTGAACAACAGCCATAGCCGATATTAGTTCTCTCCTAAAGGTAACAATGAGTATATAAATATGTGTATATATATAATATAGTATGTTGTTATTTTGAAATTTCAAAGTTGATTATTTTAAATATGAAACACAAAATGTTGAAATTTGAGATATGAGTTTGGAAGTAAGGACAAGAGTTGAGTTTGGAAGTAAGGACAAGAGTTGTAATAATATATAAAATAGTCTATTCACTATGTTTTCCAAAATGTATAATTTTTGAGAGCCTCGAATCCAGCATCCATGACAGGATTCCCTCCACTGGTCATCCAGCCATGAGTTTTGGGGCCAGTCATGGATACTGCATTCTGATTTTCACAATTAAGATAATTAAAAAAGAAATCATTTGGCAGATTTGTGTTGGTAGATTCAAATCAATATAAAAAAATATGCATGCATTTTGTAGGGATTTGTTAATAAGTAGGTAAATCAAGGATTTTACATTCTCTTTAGATTTTTTTTTACTATATGAATGACAAAAATGAATAAACAGAAAGATGCAAACTGAGGTTTTGAATTGGTCCACCATTATGAGATTGTCCTTGCTTAGTAATTATTCTATCACATAAAACAACACTATGCAATAATTATAATGAATAGTAGGGGTAGGAGTGGACACCCGGCATACCGTCAAGGTATCCATAGTCCAGCCAACACCCAACAAAAGGATCCTACCTAATATTGGAACGGCGTTGGCTGTTCTCCCCCTTCATAATTATAATTATTGATACATAGCATACAAAACATACAAAATATATGTCGATCAGATTAAAGGGGGGAAAGGGTGGCCATAGGAAAAGGAAAGAGTGATGCTGACACACAATGTTTATTACATAGAAGCGCAGTCGTAACTGATGGTCTTCATATTTAAGAGACATAATACCAAATCAGAAATATATTATGTATTATATATGTGGAAATATATGTGTAGCTCTGACAAAGAGTGATTGTACATGTATTTTGCCAGTAGTATATGTTCGGGTGAAGTTCTACCAAGCTTTCCCTGCCCTCAGCACACAAGCACTGATCCATTACACACATAAAAACACATCCTTAAATGACCTAAGTTGTTCACAAGACGTACAAATTAAAACCAAACTATCAAGCTTATTCATATGCATGACCCTATTCACTATTCAATGTCTTAGGGGTCAAATATGCTGAAAACCTTAAAACAACTTCTGATTAACCAAAAGGCATAGGGTGATGATATTTGGCCAGAAGCATACTGTATAGTGAATGGCTATCTGGCCAGAAGCATACTATATAGTGAATGGCTATCAAGTCTGCTCATGATGAATCACTTTAAGACCACAGGTACCAAACGTTTTGGAGACCTTTAAACAAGTTCTCCCGAATGCCCAAAACTTTAGGATGATGATATTTGGCCAATAGCATGTCAACATGAAGGGATGTCAATTTTGTTCACCATCATTCAAGGTCAAAGTGGCCAAATGTATCTAAAACTTTGTAAAACCCGAATAACTAACAGGGCTATGGGTATGATATTGACCAGTACCATGCTCAGATGAAGTGCTACCAATCTTGTTCAAATGAATGACATTCACCAAAATTCCATGCCACAGTATTAAAATGTATTAAAAATTAAAAAGACTTCCTTCAAATAACCACAAGGTTGAGGGTAATAATATTTAGCCTTTGGCATGTTGGGTTGAAGTGTTATCAACTTTGTTCAAATGAATGATCCTTAACCAATATTCAAGGTTATAGGCCTAGGGGTCAAATACGTTGAAAATATTCCTTCTGAAAAACCAAAAAGCCTACATAAATATGATATTTGACTAGTAGCATGCTTGGATGAAGGACTATCAGGTTTGTTAAAATGAGTAGATTTAATCAATATCCACGGTCACGAGGATCAAAAGTTTGGAAAACCTTTAAACGACTTCTTTGGAATAACCGAAAAGCCAAAAGGGGGAACCTTGTAATCTTTATTTATTTTACAATTATAACACAAATTATTTCAATTTATGCTAATCACTTTTGATAGCCCGGATGTTAGCGCGCAGGAGGTCTTACTGTGGACAAAAAAATGCGTGGTCGGACAGGTGACCCCATACCTTTTCACGACCGATCGGGGAATCGAACTCTAGTCGCCTTGGTGAAAGGTACGATTGTTCTCCACTGCGCCATCCGACCACCAAGTACTTTCTGTTAACTTAAAAAGAATTCCTGCAACCGATTTGATGTAAAGAATTATTGTATTTATTTGGCGGTAAAATACGGTCACCCAAGCCAGAAAGGTTGAAAGGTAGAGGTCAAACCAAGCAGCACCGTCCTTTTGCCGACGCAAATCTTCCTGGGGGTTTGGTATACAGATGTCCGCCTTCGGGCAAGCCCTTTGTGCATTCCTCTGGAATGGTCGGGCCGTGGTAAAGTGTGGGGCCACCTTAAGAACCATTTGATGGAATTTTTTCAAACTTGGTCAGA